ATATTGCATTCTTATTTAGAGTTACTCAATTTTTTTATTTCTTCAATTTCCGTTTCTTCTTTTTGTAATTTTTAGTTCTCTAAAAGTCCTCTCATTCAGGGGATGTTTTATTCTCTCAGGTTGATTGATTGAATAAGACATCTAATCCTGTTCTAAAACTAGATGATTGGAATCGTTATGGTACTTAACATATTTCTAATTTGCCTCCTCTCCTAGAACATAATGGTTCATGATCTCAAGTGAAAGTCTGTGATGTTCTTGGGGCTTCTGCTGTTTAGTCAAGCTTTAGACAAATATTTCCATCAAAAGAAAAGAAGAGTTTGGTGGCACTCATTTTTCTCGGGTTCCTTTCTTTTCAGCATAAGTTAATTCTGTGGTCTTCAGTATTGCTGAACATGAAGACATAAGTCATTCATGGGAGAAAAGACCAAGGTAGGAGCTGCTCTGTCCATGAAAATCATAGGGACAGAGAAGAGGACCACAGAGGGCTGATAGCAGAGTGTGAACATTGCAATATTGGGAAATTATGAAAAAATAAGCACCCAGTATGATAGATAGTTGTTAAGATCAAAATAAATGTAGCTGAAACACATAGAAGGTTCTCCATAAGAAGGTTGTCTCTCATGTGAGAGTCAATTTTAAACATCACAGCTAGATAGTGAGACCATATTATGAAAGGACTAGAGAGAAAAGTATAGAAAATCTCATTTCTCTGCAAGCATGCATTTACAGTTATTTCCTACTAAGAATGCTGGTTTGAAATATCTGATAAGCTTAGAAATCATAAAGCTCTCTAAGGAGGATAAAAATTTCTTTTTAACTGCTCTCCAGTTAAAATCAGTTTTATTTCTCAGAGTAAACTAAAACATCAGAGGACTGCTTAAGTTTTAGTGGTATTATGTTTTAGATAGGGTTTTGTACAACTCCTTTTAATAAAATGAAAGTTAATTTTGAGATGAAACATTTCTGTTACCTTACAGTAACAGAATTCTTCCAGCTGTTCAATATAACAGAATGGTCTTCAAATTTAGAAAGAGTAAAACAATAGAGAAACAAAATAGAGAGAAGAGAAGCAATTTTGTCTACCAGTAAATATGTTAAATTTAAAGTTAATTAGTAAGCATGTTATTTTTCTTTATTTTTCATTATCATGTTATCTTGGTGAAACAGGTTATAATCTTCTGACCTGTATTCTGATTCTGTATTTTTAAATTTTCTTATTCAAACTATTTTGGGCTTTATACCTTGTAGAATATTTGCTAATGTGAAACAAACTGTAATGTGGATTTTAATAAGGGTAACTTTATGTAAAAAATAATCTGTTCCTCAAATTATTATTCCTATCACACTCGTATTTATAAAGTTAATGTACTTAACTTTACACATACAAATGAAGTGTAAATTGAAAAGATTAAATATGAACAGGTTACATCCTTTTATCTTAACAGAATTAGAGCACACTACAATTAAACAGCCATAGTTTCTGAGTATATTGACTGTAACAATGTGCCACTGGCTGATTCTCCTTTTAATACTCACTAGAATCATTTGAAAGTAAGAAAATTGTTTCACATGAATCATATTCTTTGAACTGTTGCTGCAATTTGAAATTTTACAAAACTTGTTAATTTTTACAATTTGAAAGTTTCCTAAACTATGTATGTCGATTTCCTAAGTTCTGAAAAAAGAAGCAAAATCATTAGAAAGGTTGTTCTAAGTGGGTTTCTAGCCTGGAGGGAAGCAGCAATCGTGAGCAATCTAATAATAAAACTCACATTTGAGACGTTAATTTTCTAGGAATATTTTGCAGACCTAAGATATTTGGAGACTTTTAATAAGTTGTCAAACTTTTGAGCACTTATGAAACTTACAGCATATTTGGAGTTATTCGTAATATCAATAGTTATCCCCTTGATCTCATATAAAAAGACATCTGGACTCCTAACAAAATTCCCCACATCGTGTTCCACAGAACTCTTATTTTATAGTATATTTATAGAGACACTCTCTCCTCTCTCTCTCTCTCTCTCTCACACACACACACACACACATGCCCCATTTCTGAATCCTGAATCATCAAAGAAAGCAACATTTATTTCCCTTGAAAAATTTATGTAGATATGTATGATCTAGGAAAATGTCACTACTGTTTGGGTTTAATGCTAATAATTTTGCGATATTAATACCTAACATAATTATATTTTGCTTGTACTGTATTAACTTACTGCCTGTGCACAGCAATATGATTAGAAACATAATGTTATTGCTCCCAGTTACAGAAGAAACAACTGAAGAACAATTAAGGTATCTTGATTAAAATCATAGAGTTGTTATATTACAGAGTTGGCAATCAATATGTTGCCACTATTTTCTATTGCTTGCTATTCATCTTTTGGTATATTTTACTAGATAGTGCAGAGCTACAATATCAGGCAAACATCGATAACCAGAGTATTTGTACACATTTTCAAAATTTGTGACTGTACTACTCACGGAAAGAAACTTAATACACAGAATATCTCAATTATAAATTCAAGAAAGGAGTTTCCCAACCCAACAGAAATGAGGTGGTAGGTTTGTTGCTTGAAATCTACTTATGAAGGTAAATATCCTTTTCCAAACTGTTACTAGAATGCATATTATTATTTGTAAAGAATTTCCTTAAAAGAAAGAAAGATAAGGAAATGTTGGGTGAGGGAAATATAACTATATTTAGATAAGAAGAGTAGTAAATGTCCAAAATGGGCAAATACATATAGATAGAAAATAAATTAATGATGGATTGAGCTCAGGCATTGGTGGGATAGAGGTTAATTAGATATTAGAGAGAAATAGGGAATGGCTACCGATAGTAGAGAATATTCTTTTTGAATGGTTCAAGTGGTGAAATTAGTTGTGGTGATGGTTGCACACTCTTCAAAAAAACTAAAAACCATGAGATTACATGTTTTAATTGGGTGAATTATGTCCAGTAAAACTTTTTAAAGAGTTTCCTCAAAATGTCACCTCTCATGAAACTTTTCCAAGGTAAACTGATAGGCAGAACAACTAAAGCTTCTGGAACATAACTGTAAATGACAGCATGTATGTGAATTCAAACATATTAAGCAAATGGTAACATATTTTGGAGAATGTTTAATTTTTCTTTTGCATATTTTGTTGTTAGACAATGAATAGGTCTAATAAGACACCAAGTATACATATTTCCTTTCCCTTCCCTATGTAGATATAGGCATTTTATAAACACTTCTTCAAGCCATTCATGTATATAATCATGACAAATAAAAATAGATGCTGAGAACAAAAAAGCCAAAACAGAACAAAAACAAACAAATAACAAACTTGACCTGTAGAACATAAAAGTAACTTCATGAGTATTACAGTTTGAAAGTAATTTTTAACATATAGTAATTTATAAAATTATATTTATCTTTGGCATAATGCAAGAATCTTTTCAGATATATATATTGAAATTAGTTGAATTTTCTGGAAAAATAGCCAAAGTGGTAGAAATTTTGAGTTGGAGAAAAATAAAGTGCAAAAGAGCTGGTTGAATTATGAAGATAGCTGATGAGTCAAAAACTTAGATTTTTAAAAATGTAACCAACAGGTAGATTAAAAATGAATTTGTTTCAATGTAAAAAAAATCCTACTACATTTGCTAATTGGTTTTTTTTTTTTTTGTAATGGGGATTGAATAATTTGGGACCTTGCACTTGCACATTTCTGTATTTTAGGCACATTTTAGAATACTTTTAGTTTTTGAGGTGACATTCTTTTTTTTTGTATTAAATTCTTTTATTGGTACATTGTAGGTATACAACACAATTACATTTCTCATTGGGAATTGTACCTTT